AAATATCTGATATGCAGGATGTATTTTCATTCACTGGACCAAATCTGGCACAAATACCCGATAAGCTCAAATTTGAATACTCATGGTGTTGGGGGACGGGACGAGATTGATTTTGTGATTTGGGAGTTGTAGTTGCTGGGATTTATAGTTAACCTAAATTCAAAGAACATTCTGAACTCCACCAAAGATGGAATTGAACCAAACTTGGCACACAGAACTCCCATGACCAACAGAAAATACTGGAAGGGTTTGGTGGGCATAAACTTGAGTTTTGGAGTTGTTGTTCACCTACATCCAGAGAGCGCTGTGGACTCAAACAATGATGGATCTGGACCAAACTTGGCAAGGATACTCAGTATGCTCAAATGTGAACACTGGTGGAGTTTGGGGGAAATAGACCTTGACATTTGGGAGTTGTAGTTGCTGGGATTTATAGTTCACCTACAATCAAAGAGCATTCTGAACTCCACCAATGACAGAATTGGGCCAAACTTCCCACACAGAACCCTCATGACCAACAGAAAATACTGTGTTTTCTAATGGTCTTTGGTGACCCCTCTAACACCTCCCTTGTGACCCCCCCCCCAGGAATCCTGACCCCCCAGGTTGAGAAGCAATGCATTAAAGTCTGATTAATTTGTCTTAGCAAAAGCTTTCTTTGCTGATAATTTCCATACATGGCATTTAAATTTTATTTTGGAACCGATATTGCTTAATGTATTACAACAGTTCCTATTTTCTAGTATCCATCCTTGGTAAAACGCTGGTCCTTTCTTGACACTGCTCTGTCTTTAGGAAAGACTCTGAAGATGAGTTTTTATATATTATGAATGTGAGTCAGCTGTCTCAAGACTAGATCTGATTTTCATAGAATCATAGAATCAAAGAGTTGGAAGAGACCTCATGGGCCATCCAGTCCAACCCCCTGCCAAGAAGCAGGAATATTGCATTCAAATCACCCCTGACAGATGGCCATCCAGCCTCTGTTTAAAACTTCCAAAGAAGGAGCCTCCACCACACCCGGGGCAGAGAGTTCCACTGCTGAACGGCTCTCACAGTCAGGAAGTTCTTCCTCATGTTCAGATGGAATCTCCTCTCTTGTAGTTTGAAGCCATTGTTTCGCGTCCTAGTCTCCAGGGAAGCAGAAAACAAGCTTGCTCCCTCCTCCTGTGGCTTCCTCTCACATATTTATACATGGCTATCATATCCCTCTCAGCCCTCTCTTCTTCAGGCTAAACATGCCCAGCTCCTTAGGCCGCTCCTCATAGGGCTTGTTCTCCAGACCTTTTAGTTTCTGCTTCCCCCATATCTCATTTGGGAATGGTCCCCCAGCTATTAAAAGGACACAAAGCCATTCTGGGAAAAGTTAGGAACACATTCAGTGGTATAGTTGGGACAGCTATGAAGACAGCTTTAGGTTCTCCATTGTCTTTCCAGCCTAAAGCTCTGTGCCTGAACCTTGGCCTTGACACTGGAACTTAATTAAACAAGAGGGGAAAAAGCCCTAACCATTCAATGTCTTTCATTATAAAACAGCACTCAGATTGGGTTATTTATAACTGGATCAGATCTTGACACCTGTACAAGATCAGGCCAATGTTCCCCTCAAAACGAGATGCAGACGTTTCAGTTTGCAGGTCAATAAGCATCATTTATTTTTCCTGACAGTTGAACTAGTTCCCAAGGAATGTGTTTGTAAAGAGACCTTGAGCCAAGAATCTAACTTACTGTGGTCATTAAACATTCCAAGGTACTTTCCATGCGAGTAAACCCATTATTTCCAGTGTTTTGGATGAAATCCCAGTTGAATGCTTGAATCCTGCCTACCTGTGTTTCTCTTGTTTAGTGGCATGTCGCAATATTCTCTCACTGTTTTAAACTTGTGGAATCATTATAGATCAGGTATGGGCAAACTTGGGCCCTCCGGGTGTTTTGGACTTCAACTCCCACAATTCCTAACAGTTTCAGGCCCCCCCCCCCAGCCACTTAATACATATATTGTAAATAATATGCTATATTGATGACATTGGGATGAAAAATATGATCTTTGTCATCAGCATCATCATTATGAACTACTCAAATAATGAATTCCTCTGTAGCCAAAATGGTAAACTCTGGCCTTTAAGCGGTGCAATTCACCAAATCTCCCCATAAGAAGAGATTGGAATTTCTATATAAATCTATATATTCTATATATTAGTAATTGTAATCAGAAAATAAGTCTGGGAATGGATTGATGTACACTAGAAAACCATACTTTGCTGATCCTGGTTAAATCTGAAGACTATCCTTAGTTACTTGTTAATACAAATCTTTTTTTTTTTCAACACTTAAAATCGTACATACAAATTTAGCTTCCATTATTTTTATATTCTCTTCCTTTTCTTCACCAGAATTTATTGTACCCTCAATTCACTTCTGACATGATAAATAAACAAACCAGAATTTATTTATTTATCATGTCAGAAGCTAATTGAGAATACAGTTATAATGTATAGAAAAACCACAAACAAATTTAAAAACTTGGCATTATACTAAATTCCCTTTGACTAGAAGCTGGCCACTTGGAGTGCCTCTGGTGTCACTGTAAGAAGGTTCTCCATTGTGCATGTGGCAGGGCTCAGACTGCAATGTAGTAAGTAGTCTGTGGTTTGCTTTTCTCCTCAGTCGCATACCATTGACTCCACTTTGTAACCCCATTTTTAAGTTTTGCTCTGCATCTCATGTTGCCAGAGAGCAGTCTGTTCAGGGACTTCCAAGTCACCCAGTCTTCTGTGTGCCCAGGGTGGAGTTTCTCATCTGGTATTAGCCACTGATTGAGGTTCTGGGTTTTAACCTGCCACTTCTGGACTCTCGCTTGCTTAGGTTTTCCTGCAAGTATCTCTGTAGATCTAAGGAAGCTGTTTCTTGATTTAAGGCATTGGCTTGCTGGCTGATATCCGAACAGAGGATGAGCCGGAGATATCAATGTCTTGGTCCTTTCATTACTGGCTGCTACTTCTCAACGGATGTCAGGTGCTGCAGTATTGGCTAAACAGCATAATTTCTCCAGTAGCTTAGGGCGTAGACATCCTGTGATAATACACCATGTCTCATTAAGAGCCACATCCACTGTTTAACTTGATGAGATGTGTTCCACACTGGGCGTGCGTATTCCCTAGCAGAGTAGTAAAGCAAAAGGGCAGATGTCTTCACTGTGTCTGGTTGAGATCCCCAGGTTGTGCCAGTCAGCTTTCGTATGATGTTATTTCTAGCACCCACTTTTTGCTTGATATCCAAGCAGCGCTTCTTATGTCAGAGAACGGTCCAGAGTAACCCAGGTATTTTGGTGTACTGCAATGCTCCATTGGGATTTCTTCAGCAGTGTGCTACAGAATGCAGTATGCTAGTTTATAAGGTCATTTTAGCTGGATGATGTGGGATAACTGTGCATTGTCAGCAACTGTTTTAATAAAGTCACTTTTCTGTTATCTAAATTAGGTATTACTATGAATCAGAGTCAACTCACCATAATTCAAAACTACTCACTAAGGTCTTATATTGAGCTACATGTTTCTATTGGCAGTTAGGAGTAATTGCTTGAGTGTAGCAGGCTACAATAAATTGAATATCATGTTTGCAAATTCTGCAGTCCATAACATCTGGTCACCAGAAAATATAATTTGCCAAATAAATACTAGTAGTGTTAAAATACAGAGAACTTTAATATGCGGCCTGTCTACTCTCCAAATCCCTGTCTGAACATTTATTGAAGCCCAAGTAATGTTGACATGTTTGAATGAGCAGTTTCTTGCAGCTGATAACAGCATGATCATAAGATTCCTGGTTTATACCACTAGCCAGGACAGAGTAATTCTTAAAACCCTCACATTGGCAGATCACTATAACATGCTAACATGACAATGGCCTTTTAAAAAATCAGGGCTGGCACATACGTTTCTGGTTTTTTACTTTGCTCTTAAGGCAGTAGGTTCCCAACCTTTTTTTGACCAGGGACAACTCTCAAACAATAGTATCAAAAGGGTTACAAATCAGTTTTTGCTCAACTTTTCATCCGGTTTGGTTATTTGGGGTGCTGATTCAGAAAATTGCATTAGAATTTTTTTCGTGTGTCAGGAGTGACTTGAGAAACTGCAAGTCGTTTCTGGTGTGAGAGAATTGGCTGTCTGCAAGGACATTGCCCAGGGGATGCCTGGATGTTCTTTTTGATGTTTTACCATCCTCATGGGAGGCTTCTCTCATGTCCTCACATGGAGAGCTGGAGCTGACAGAGGGGGCTCATCCACACTCTCCCTGGATTCAAACCTCCGACCTGTTGGTCTTCAGTCCGGCACAAGGGTTTAACCCATTGTGGCACTGGGGGCTCCTATTGCATTGGATAGACCACATCAGCTCTAGTTTCTGATACAGACATCCCGTAGTTGCCATCTGCTCACCCACAGAAAACCATATTTAATAACCACTATAAAAGGGTTTCGCGAGATCAGTTGCTCTCGTTGCCACGGTGTAGTAATGGTGAGGCCATGGACCATATTTTAGTTCTTGCGGACCACTGGTGGTCCATGGATTACAGTTTGGGATCCGCTGCTCTAAGGTATGAGGATTACAGAAGAATTTATAGAGCTTGGAATCTCATGGGAGAGGAGAGCATTGAAATGGCATTTGTTTCACAATCAACGTAATACCCGAGGCCCATTAAAAATAGGGGCGGGGAAATGAGAGTATTACTTTTCATCATCTAAAACTAGCTAGCTGCACCACTTTTTCCAATGCAATGCCAACAGTGCTTGAGTGACTGTTGTCTTGGGGGCTGCACTGTTCTTAACACTGGCATTCTAAATATATACTTTGGGGAAGTCGCTAGTGGGAAAGTGAGAAATAGGAGTGGGAATATGCAAGGAAAAATAATATGGATGGATACACCATTTCTCAAGTGCTTGCCAGTAACCTGTAAAAAGTCTGCTGTTAGTTTTTTGTATTTCATATCTTAATGAACTCACCTCTCCTCCAGTGCAAGGGAAGTGACTAGAGTATCTTGAAGTACAAATTGCCCCTTTCTTGGTTACATCATCGTCAAGCCCAAAGGTTGCTGAGCAGTTAGTGGAAAAATATTTGTAAGGCTTCCATGTTTTTCCAAAATCCTGAGATCGTTCCAAAACCATGGCTGCTGGTCTTGGTGACTTAAACACCATGATTAAATGGGTGAAATAAAATTCGGTTTCCAGGTTCAGTTGGATTTTCTCCCTGTGCAGCCCTGGTGCTGATTGCCACCATGTATAGGGCAACTTGAAAGAAGAGTCAACCATGGCAGAAGGCGGGTGAGCCAGATGGGCATGCATTGAGTTGCATTTGCTACACTTAAGCCACCTACATATGAGGTCTGCATCCTCACTGTAGGAACAGTAATGTTCTGTGGAGTTGCTTCCACAGCTTGTATCTGTCCACAATTTACGTCCATATCCTAGGTTTCCCATTCGAGGATTGCATGCTTTCTCACAGTATGACCCAGCTCCAATGATACTGCTCAGTCCTGAATAGGAAGGAAAAGCAATAATTAATAAACAGCATTTAAATCCACAACTGCACCTAATCAACAGTGGACGTTCTGGCTTTCTAATCTCCCATTAGAAAGAAGAAGTAAAATTTTGGCTTGATGCGGTGAGAGTTGAAGGCAAGCATGTGAATCATCTTGGAGATTATGATCATCTGGGAAGGCCCTGCTCTCAGTCTCACCTTCTTCCCAAGCGTGGCTGGTTGGGATGAGAGACAGGGCCTTTGCAGTGGTGGCCCCTCGGCTGTGGAACTCCCTACTGAGCAGTATTAGATCACATCCCAAGCACACCATCAGGGCAATGAAGAAGTGGCCTTGTAAGAAGCATTTCAAGGTCCTGGAGTGGCCTAGCCAGTCTCCAGATCTCAACCCTATAGAAAACCTTTGGAGAGAGCTGACAGCCCCAAAAAATCACTGCTTTGAGGAGATCTGCATAGAGAAATAGGCCAACATACCAGCAACAGTGTGTGACAACCTTGCGAGGACTTACAGAAAATGTTTGATCTCTGTCATGCCAGTAAGGGATATATAACAAAGTATTTTGTTATGGACCAAATACTTATTTCCCCCCATAATTTGCAAATAAATTCGTTAAAAATCAGACAATGTGATTTTCTGGATGTGTTTTCTCATGTTATCTCTCATAGTTGAGGTCTACCTATGATGTCAATTTCAGGTCTTTCTCATCTTTTTAAGTGGGAGAACTTGTACAATTGGTATCTGATTAAATACTTTCCTCCCCACTGTACCCTCTTGGGAATGGAAACCAACTGGGTGACCTTAGGTAAGCTGCATTCTCCCAGCCTCCGAGGAAGGCGAAATCAAACCTCTTCTGAATGAATCTTTCCAAGAAGATTCTTTCATAAAGTCAACAAAAATTGGAGTTGACTTGAAGGCCTATAGTAATAAAACCATGTATTTTGCAGCAGGTTTTGTGGCACTTTTAACAACATCTCGTGGACTTAAATCCATTGATAGATCTGGCAAATGTATCTGATCAGGGGACTGGAGCCCACAGATGTTTATGCCAAATTAAATGTGTTAGTTTTTATGTTGCAAGATTTTTCTTTGTTTATATTTAAACAGCATTCCAACATACACTTTTTACAAAAGATTTTCTTCTGCAGTCCCTTCTTTATGTGTCTCATTCATTTTATGTATCTTTTTCTATGCAAAGCTCATTTGAAATAATTAAACCTGTTTAGGACCAGGATATAAATATAATAAATATAAGAGGAACGTTGGTTGCAGGCCTCCATTCCAAGTGAAAAGAGCACACTTATGCCACCTAAAGTAAACAAATACAACTGTAAAAGTCACATAATAACATTTAGAGCCTTTCAAAGTGCTGTACAAACATTAACTAATCTGCAGGGCTCTCCTAAGAAGCAAGGAAGTAAGTTCTTATCATGTGTTTTATCAGCTAGACATGCCATAGATTGCCTTAATTTGCATGGTGGCTCCTAAGAATCTTCAATCTCATTATGCCAGTTACCTGCTATGTAAACAACTGCATGTTTACTGCAGTACGTTTCTCGATTCTATGTTATTTCATTTTTGTGAAACTAAACACAGAGTAGAAAAAGACCTCTATATAACTCTGAACAAGAAGCCATGAACATTCTTTAAGTCTGAACAGGTACTACAAACAGTGTGCAGTCTGAGAAACCGTTTAATTCTTAGAGAAGCTTAGACTTTAAAACCAAATAATGAACCCTATAGGGGAAAACTCTTTGAAAATGTTCAGTATCAACTATAGAAAGCTATTTCACTTGATTTATTTATCATGTCAGAAGCTAATTGAGGGTACAGTTATAATGTTTTTTAAAACACCAACAAAGTTAAAAACTTGGTATTATGCTAAATGTCCTTTGACCAGAAGCTGGCCACTTGAAATACTTCTGGTGTTGTTGTGAGAAGATCCTCCATTGTGCATGTATTGTAGTAGGTGGTCTGTGGTTTGCTCTTCTCCACACATACATTTAAGGTTAGCTCTGCATCTCATGATGCCAGAGTGCAGCCTGTTCAGCACCTTCCAGGTCGCCTAATCTTTTGTGTGCCCAAGAGGGAGTCTCTGATTGAGGTTCTGGGTTTTCGCCTGCCACTTTTGGACTCTTGCTTGCTGAGGTGTTCCTGCAAGTATCTCTGTAGATCTTAGAAAGCTATTTCTTGATTTAAGGCATTGGCTTGCTGGCTGATATCCAAACAGAGGATGGGCCAAAGATGTCACTGCCTTGGTCCTTTCATTATTGGCTGCTACTTCCCGGTGGATGTTATGTGGTGCAATACCAGCTAAACTAATTTCTCCAGTGGTGTAGGGCGTAGACATCCTGTGATAATGCGGCATGTCTCATTAAGAGCCACATCCACTGTTTTAATGTGGTGAGATGTATTCCACATTGGACATGCGTAATCAGTAGAAGAGTAGCAAAGCGAAAGGGCAGATGTCTTCCCTGTGTCTGATTGTGATCCCAAAGTTGTGCCAGTCAGCTTTCATACAATATTATTTCTAGCTCCGCTTGATGAAACATGAATTACTCCATTTGATGAAACATGAATATTGTAAAAAAAAAAGCCACTGCTGTAATTTCTCAAAGAATCTAGCAAAATGTAATGTTTTTCAGTTCTAAAGATATTCATATTTACTTTGGGTCAAGTTAGGATCTTTCCATTAGCTTCATGATTAGTAGCGCTTCAGTGGCATGGAGTCAAAGACAACTTTGCATGTAGGCTTGTTTTTAGCCAAAATAACACAATATATCTTTTGTGACATCTGACATTGCTGTGCATTTTTTCATTTGTAGTTTTCATGCATGTAGTACAAGGATGCAGATTACACACCTTTATATATTTAAGACATTTTTCTGGCATTGTAATGCTTGCCACTAGATGAGGCATGGGAAAACTTCAGCCTTCCAAGTATTTTGGACTTCAACTCCCACAATTCCCAACAGCCTCAGACTGAGGGGGAAAAGGAAGGGGCCTGAGGCTGTTAGGAATTGTGGAAGTCCAAAACACCTGGAGGGCCAAAGTTTGCTCATGCCTGCACTAGACTATGTGAGCTTGCAAAATATTCTTCTCACCTTGCCAGCTGCAAGATCATAAAAGACAGCTTCTGTTCTCAGAGATGTCCTGCTCTTCCTGTCTCCCTGCCTCTTTGTCTCTCACTTAATATTTATGGTTAACTGCTCACTACCTCCCAGCCTGCATACAGTAAATGCCACTGGACAAAAATCTGTCATAATGACAAGAGCATACAAGGCTCAGCATGACTCACCTGTAAAACATTCAGGACTAGACCGTATGCTTCCTGCTGGAGCACTTTGGGGCCAAACTATTCTTGCCTTTGAAATCTTTCATCAAGAATTTTATAAGCATGTGGTATGAAATCAATATCAAATGCTAATCATTAGATTTTTAAATATCTTCAAACACTCAAAGCATTTGAAAAAAATGACACTGAAGATGTGAATTTAATTCATAGGTATGATCCGTTATTTACATCTACAGAACTTTCAAAAGTGTCTCTGAGAAAAAGACTCATTTTGATCTGCTACGAATGTTTTACTAAACAAAAGAAATACAATTACTAATAGAATAATTATCTCTGCCCTCTATTTAATACTCAAGTTATATTTCACTTGTGGCATTGACAGCAGATAAATATGCTATCAAGAGGAGACATGATAGCCATATATAAATATGTGAGGAGAAGTCATAGGGAGGCGGGAGCAGGCCTGGAAACTAGGACGCAGAACAATGGCTTCAAACTACAGGACAGTAGATTCCACCTGAATATAAGCAATAATTTCCTAATTGTGAGAGCTGTTCAGCAGTGGAACTCTCTGCCCCGGACTGTGGTGGAAGCTCCTTCTTTAGACGCTTTTAAACAGAGGCTGGATGGCCATCTGTCAGGGGTACTTTGAATGTGGTTTTCCTGGTTCTTGGCAGGGGATTGGACTTGTTGGCCCAAGAGGTCACTTCCAGCTCTATGATTCTGTGATTCTGTGACTTATACAGTGCAAAGAAGGGAATCATTGATCTCCTGGATGTCTCTGAACTACAACTCCCACCATTCTGCTTGCTGGATATTCTGGCAAGGGTTAAGGAGAGTTGCAGTTTAACTTTTTTTGGGGGGGGGGGTAGAGTTTTACCAAATACCACAATACCTAGAAGAACCAAGTGGGGGAGGTGGCGTTTCAACCACAAAAGGTATGTATGGATTGTATCTTTCAATCTTTCATCCCATTAAAGGCTCAGGCCCTCACCTTTGATCAGAAGGACAAGGATACAGACACCAGTGATATCAGTGGTAAAGGTCAATCCAGTCCAGATGTTATCTTGTTTATGATCTGTGAGGTCATCTCTCGCTCACTACAATAGTATTCGTCAATTCAGAAAGAATGTAGGTGTTCAACTTTCCCATCATAGTAAGATATGAACAAATGATGGTAAAGGGCCATGTATAAATATGTGAAGGGAAGTCATAGGGAGGAGGGAGCCGGCTTGTTTTCTGCTGCCCTGCAGACTAGGATGCGGAGCAATGGCTTCAAACTACAGAAAGGACAGTCCACCTTAACATGAGGAAGAATTTTCTGACTGTGAGAGCTGTTCAGCAGTGGAACTCTCTGTCCCGGAGGGTGTTGGAGGCTTCTTCTTTGGAGGCTTTTAAACAAAGGCTGGTTGGCCATCTGTCGGGAGTGCTTTGAATGCAATGTTCCTGTTTCTTGGCAGGGGATTGGACTGGATGGCCCACGAGGTCTCTTCCAACATAATGATTCTGTGATTCTATAAACAGGATACATGAAGATGTTTTTCCACTATACACTGAGGTATAGTTCTTCTTACGCAGTGTATGATATGGTCCTTGTTCTATCTAGATCCCTCTGACAGATCAAAATATATACAATTCAAATATTCCACAATGGAGCTGTTCACATCTGACTTTGATGATTGGCTGAATATGCTTGCAATATGTTGTCAAAGGCTTTCATGGCCAGAATCACTGGGTTTCTGTGAGTTTTCTGGGCTGTATGGCCATGTTCCAGAAGCATTCTCTTCCTGACATTTTGCCCACGTCTATGACATCTTCAAAGGTTGTGAGGTCTGTTGGAAATAGATATCCACAGATATATAAACTCCATTTGCCCAGTTTCCAACAGACCTTACAACCTTAACATAGATGAGAGTGAAACATCATGAGAGAATGCTACTGGAACATAGCCATACAGCCCAGAAAACTCACAGCAACCCATGCTTGCAATAGTTTGAAGTTGTAAATTCGGGGCTCTTTCATTCAGAGGATTACCAGAGGACGTATGTTCACAAGAATAATTCTCTGAGAGCACTTCACCTTTGAAAGCCACACTATTTTAGTTGCCTTTAAATAACTTCCTGCTGCTTCTCCTCCTTAAACAATTACAGTATTTAGCTGCTACTGACATGATCATGTCCTTTGCAGAAAGAAAACCTCCCTTCCTGCATTGTTCAGACAGTGAGTTTTAGGTCACATTTTTGACCAAATGAAATCAGTGGACAAAATTAGACACAACTGACTCACATCGCGTGGATTTCTATAGAACTGCAATATGACTATCATCCAACTCAGTATATTTAACTTTTTTTAAGGGCCCCCTAGTGGCACAGTAAATTAAACCGGTAAGGTGTTGAACTTGCTGACCAAAAGGTTGTTGGTTGCAATCTGGGAAGTGGGGTGAGCTCCTGCTGTTAGCCCCAGCTTCTTCCAACCTAGCAGTTCAAAAACATGCAAGTGTGAGTAGATTAATAGGTACCACCTTTGGTGGAAGTTAACAGTGCTCCATGCAGTCACGCCAGACACATGAACTTGGAGGTGTCTACGGACAACGCCAACTCTTCTGCTTAGAAATGGAGATGAGCACCAACCCCCAGAGTTGGACAGGACTAGACTTAATGTCAGGGGAAACATTTACCTTTTACCTAAAAGCACACACATTCTTTTCATACATTGAAAGGACATCTAATTTAATCTTGAACATGTCATTTGACCAAACAAATACATATTATTAGTCACAGAGTCTTCCTTTCTATTTAATACACTGAAGTTTCATCAATAGGTCCAGTATTAAAGAAGGTGGTTTAATTCTGCAACTCTGTGTTGTAGTTTGGTGAGAAAACAACACTTTTTTAAAGAGAAGGCTAAAGATTTTATAAAACTACACATCCCGTGATCCATAGCATTGAGCCATAACAGTAAAAGTGGTGTCAAACCACATTAATTCTACTGTGTGATGCACCGTTTCTCTGGCTCCAGGAATTCAAAGACAGTGTCATGCTCTTCTGGAATATCAACATTGGAAAGAATCTTGCAACACTGGGAAGTTGGTAAAAGGTAAAGGTAAAGGTTTACCCTTGACATTAAGTCTAGTTGTGTTTGACTCTGGAGAGGTGGTGCTCATCTCCATTTCTGAACTGAAGAGGTGGCGTTGTCCATAGATACCTCAAAGGTCATGTGGCCTGCATGACTGCATGGAGCGTTGTTACCTTCCCGCTGGAGTGATACCTATTTGCATGTTTTTGAACTGCTAGGTTGGCACAGTAAGTCCCCTGGTAGCACAGAGGTTAAACCACCAAGATGCTGAACTTGCTGACTGAAAGGTTGGTGGTTCGAATCTGGGAAGTGTGGTGTTCGCCCCAGCTTCTGCCAAAGTAGCAGTTCAAAAACATGCAAATGTGAGTAGATCAATAGGTACCAACTTGACAGGAAGGTAACTGCGCGCCATACAGTCATGCTGGCCACATGACCATGGAGGAGTCTACGGACAATGCTGGCTCTTTGGCTTAGAAATGGAGATGAGCACCACCCTTCAGAGTCGGACATGACTAGACTTAATATCAAGGGGAAACTATTACCATTACTAGGTTGGCAGAAGCTGGGGCTAACAGTGGAAGCTCACCCTGCTCCCAGGATTCGAACTGCCGACCTTTCGGTCAGCAAGTTCAGCAGCTCAGCAGCTTAACCCACTGCTGAACTGCAGTTGGTAGCATCACATAAAGGGAAATCCAAGCCAGGCATACTGATGCAACCAACTGCATCCTCGCAGTGAAGTTTCAGAGGTTTGCAGGCTCAGACTTCAACGGAAACGGGGCTAGAATGATGTGTCAGTGAATCATAGTCTTGGAAGAGACCCCAAGGGCCAGCCAGTCCAAGCTCATTCTGCCAGACAGGAGCATGCAGTCAAAGCACTCCCGACAGATGGCCACGCAAGGTGTTTCATCCCTCGACCTGCAGAGTTAGGCTATGTTAACACGTTTCCTCTGAACTCCCCCTTCCCAAACTGTATTGGAAAACCAAAGAGAGGCATTTAAACAGGATTTCAAGGAGGGAGGGAAGGAAAAGAGCAGTTCGAATCCCAACCTCTGAGCCAGGTTCAAAGGGGAGCCAGAAGCAGCCTTGAGGTCGGGACCGGCAGCTTTTCTCGGAGCCAAAGCTGCGTGTGAACTTGGGAGGGGAGACCCACGAGAGGGAAGGAGGGACCCACCTGCAGCAGGAGCAGCAGGAGCGGCAGCAGCAGCAGCCAGGGCGGAGCAGCCGAGCAGGACCAGCACCGGGGGCCAGCACCGGGGGCCGCCCATGGCGGAGGGAGCCGGCGGCGCGGGAGCAGGGCGGGCATGGGCTCCTCCACCCGCCCAGGGAGGGCTCTCGCGCGACGCCGCTACAGGGGCTCCCTCGCCCACGCGCCCCCGCGGGATCCCGGCCCGGGGAGGACCACGCAGCCCGGACCCGCCCAGGCACCTCCGGAGGGCATCTTCCTCCCTTCCTTCGCCGCCGCTACAGACCCCTCCGGACACCAGGCAGGAGGATGGGGGACGCCGAGTGCCAGTGCCTCCTCCTCCTTCTCCTCCACCTCCTGTTCTTCCTCCTCCCTTGTTCCTCCTCCTCCTACTCTTCCCTTTCGCCTTCCTCCTTTTATTCCTACTGCTCTGGCGCGTCTTCTTCTGCCTCCTTTTCCCTTTCTTTTTCTTCTCCCTCCCCCTCTCCCTCCTCCTCCTCCTCCCCCTCTTCTTTCTCCTCCTCCTATTCCTCCTCCTCCTTCCTTTCCTCCTCTTCTTCCTCCCTCCTCCTCCTCCTCCTCCTCCTCCTCCTTCTTTCCTTTCTTTCTTCTTCCCTTATTCCTCCTTCTCTCCCTTCTTCTGCCTCCTCTTTTCCCTTTTCTTCTCTCCCCTCTCTCCCTCCTCCTCCTTCCCTTCCTCTTCCTCCTCCTTTACCTCCTCCTCCTGTTCTTACGCCTTCTTTTTTCCTCCTCTTCCTCTTCCCTTTCTCCTTTTCCTTTTTATTCCTCCTCCTCTGGCACGCCTTCTTCTTCCTCCTCTTTTCCCGTTTCTTTTCTTCTCCCTCTCCCTCCTCCGCCTCCTTTTCCTCTTCCTCCTCTTTCCCTTTCACCTCCTCCTCCTCCTCCTGCCTGTTCTTACTCGTTCCTTTTCCTCCTCCTTTTCCCTTTCTCTTCCTTCCTTTTATTCTCTCTCCTCTGGCGCTCCTTCCTCTGCCTCCTCTTTCCCCTTTTCTTTTTCTTCTCCCTCCCTCCCTTGTCCTCCTTTTCTTCTTCCTCTCCCTTCCCTTCCTCCTCCTCCTCCTCCTCCTTTTCCTCCTCCTCCTGTTCTTGGTCCTTCCTTTTTCCTCCTCCTCCTCTTCCCTTTCTCCCTTTTTTTTCCTTCTCTTGCCTCCTCTTTTTCCTTTTCTTCCTCCTCCTCCTCCTCCGGAGCCCCGTCCTCCAGGTGCTTCAAGCCCAGGCGCCGCCGACCTTCCTCTCCGGGCCGGCCTCCTTGCCCCGATGACAGTCCAAGAGGGGAGGGGAGGGGAGGGTCCTCTGTGGCCGGACAGCGCCTCCACAGCAGTCCAGGGACGGACCGGGCTGCTTCCCCAACCCTTGTCCCGCCAACCCCGAGGGAGAAAAAGGACGCCTCTCCTGCCCCCTGCCCTAAACACCCGGCAGCCCCGCTTGCCCTCCTCTCCCTCTGCTCCTGAGAAGGCGAGGAGGGGAGTGGGACCGAGGGTGGAGAGGGGCTTGCACCGGGGCGCTCCCCCCCCCCCAAACCTCTCGGCATTCCTAGAAACCACTGACTTTTCCCCCGCTGTCACCTCGCAGCACACGAAGGGGCCTCAGCCGGGTTGACAGGCGGCGAAGGGGGAAAGGGAAAAGAAGGGCGCTCCCCTCAACAACCCACACTTCTCCTCCTCCTTCTCCTCCTCCTGCCCTTGTGAGGCCGTCTCCTCTCCTCTCCTTCAGCCACTAAGGCGGGCATGGGCAAACTTTGGCCCGCCAGGGGGAAAAGCAAAGGGTCTGAGGCCAGGAATAGTGGGAGTTGAAGTCCAAAACACCTGGACTACCGAAGTTTGCCCATGCCTGCACTAAGGGATTGAGTTCCTGGCTGACCTCTTTCTTGTTCCTGCAGGCGAGGACTTGCTGTCACACTCTCTAAGCCAGGCATGGGCCTACTTGGGCCCTCCAGGTATTTTGGACATCAACTCCCACCATTCCTAACAGTCTCAGGCCCTTAAGCGGCTGAGGGGTGAAAGGAAAGGGCGTGAGGCTGTTAGGAATGGTGGGAGTTGGAGTCCAAAACACCTGGAGGGCCCAAGTTGGCCCAGGCCTGCTCTAAGCACTTCTGCCCCAAATGCCACAACCAGAGTTCAGCTTCACTGAAGAATTAGCACACTTCGGCACCGCTTTAACTGCCTTGGCACAATACTATGGAATCATGGGAGCTGTCCTTTTACAACAGTGGTTCCCAAACTTTTCTTGACCAGGGACCACTCTCCAACATTGGTGCCAAAAGGGTTATGAATTCATTTTTGGTCAACTTTAGATTCGTTTTGGTTATTTGAGGTTCTGATTGAGAAAATTGCATTGGATAGACCACATCAGCTCTAGTGTCTGATATGCCATCCAGTAGTCGCCATCTACTCACCCACAGAAAACCTTATTTAATAATCTAGAGCTGATGTGGTCTAGCCAATGCAATTTTCTGAATCAGCACCCCAAATAACTCAATTAACAGGCCTAAAATGAAAAAAAAAGTCTTGCAGTGGTATAGTAACAGGGAGGCTGTGGACCATATTTTAGTTCTTGTGGACCATTGGTGGTCCGTGGACCACAGGTTGGGAACCACTGTATTATAAGGTCTTTAGCCCTCTGTCCCAGAGTGCTGATGCCTCACTGAGGCACAATTTTGTGTTGAACCATGGCAGTTAGTGGTCTAAAATGTCACTATGCCTATTTACTCAAGTCTAATGCGCCACCTAATCTAATGTGCACCTCCATTTTTAAAACTCTGAAACCAGAGAATGAGGCAGCTGCCTCAGTTGTGATGGAAGACACTGTCCCTTTGTCAGTGCTGAAGTAAGACACAACAGGCAGCAAAATGTCTTACATTCATCCTTGACTACAGGGAAGAAAATGGCTCAGTCGTTTCATATGCCCTTTGCCATGTAGCAACCATATATACTGTATTTATACATACACACATATTTTTACACTCCCATTTTTCTATTACAAAGTAACTTACAGTTGTTAGGGAAAAAAAAGATAAACAGTAATTGAACAGGGTTGCTGTGAGTTTTCTGGGCATTCTCTTATTTTCTGGGCATTCACCCACATCTATGGCAGGCATCCTCAGAGGTTGTGAGGTCTGTTGGAAACTAGGCAAGTCAGGTTTATATATTTGTGGAATACTGTTCAGGATGGGAGAAAGAACTTTTGTCTGCTTGAGACAAGTGTGAATGTTGCCATTGGCCACCTTGATTACCATTGAATGGCCTTGCAGCTTCAAAGACTGGCTGGTTGCTGCTCCAACAGACCTCACAACCTCTGAGAATGCCTGCCATAGATGTGGGTGAAACATCAGGAGATAATGCTTCTGAAACATGACCATCTGGCCCAGAAAACTCACAGCAACCCAGTGATTCCTGCCATGAAAGACTTCAACAACACAATAATAGAACACATAACTGCCAGATAATTATGACTTAGGAGGATGACTGCACATGAGAGCTGGAGACACAGGTCTTCATTTCATGCTATGGAGATCAGTGTAGATGAAACAAATATAGTCGACCCTCCACGTTTGCAGATTTCACTTTTGTTGACTTGATTATTCATGAATTCGATTTAAATGTTCTAAGAATCTCTAGGCCCTCCAGTACAACTCTGTCAGGTGTTGATCATACAGTAGATGCTGGAGTACTTAGAGATTTCTAGAGATAATTTTTTAAATCAAATCTGTCAATAATCAATTGCTTCTTCTTCATCATATGTTTTCCTCTTATACAATTTCTAGAACACTTTTCTAGAAATTCTAGCTCCTCCAGTGTGATCCAGTGGGAGCTGACCATAGAGTCATACTAAAGTATTAGAGATTCCAAGGACATCTTTCCACCAGCTTTCTAGAATGGAGGCTATTCTCTGCCAATCATCCAAACTGCTCCTGCAGAATTCTGGGAAATGTAGTTCAGGGTGGAGCCTTTGGAATTCTTAGCTAGAGAGGTCCTTAGCTTCTCTACATTACATTTCCCAGAACTGTGCTAGAGCAGATTGGACAATTGACCTCCATTCTATAACTCTGGTGGGAAAATGTCACTAGAGAGGTATTATCTCATGTATTTTTCAGAATTAATCACACCTTTTCACTTTTTATGGGGTCTGGCACCCCTTACTGTGGTGAATGTGGCTGAATGTGTGTTCTGTCAATTGTTACAGGGCATACCTTGGTGCATGTGCTAGAGCTACAAAATCTATGGAACCGAGTAGCATAAAAATAAATGCAGAGCCATGTTGATAATTTAAATGTTGTACACAAGGCCGCCCACTTATGTCGAGGCTTGACTATGTTATTGCTGTTGGTTTTGATCCTTTTTTATATTGTGTTTAATGTTGTTTCATGTTGTTTTAAATTGCTTGATGCACTCTAATGTATTATAACTTTGTTATTGGGCTTGGCCCCATGTAAGCCACCCCGAGTCCCTTCGAGGAGATGGAGGCGGGGTATAAAAATAAAGTTGTTGTTGTTGTTGTTGTTGTTGTTGTTGTTATTATTATTATTATTATTGTGTTATCCCTAATTATTCGGTCAAAATGGAAATAACAAACTATAATATTTCCATGAGTATGTATATACAGGCAGTCCCTGAGTTGCAAACATCTGACTTCCAAATGACTCACAGTTAAGGACAGGGGTGAGACAACAGGAAGTGAGAGGAATCTACCCCTTGGAAGGAAGATTCACTCCAGAAAGAGTTATCATGGGGAAACAGTGTCTCCACTGAAGATTATTACCAAATCCTTGTTTCCACAACAAGCCAAATGAATTCAACTTAAGAATAAACCTACAGAATCTATCTTGTTCGTAACTTGGGGACTTTCTGCACTTCTTTTAAGAAATGTAGTAATCAGTCTTTAGTAGTAATAGTAGCAGTCAGACTTGTGTTGAAAATAAAATTATAGTTTATTCTTCAAATAGTTGTTTCTCAGACATTAGGGCACATACAGTGCTAAAACAGAGGATCGCAAACATAAAATAGAATATATATATATATATATATATATATATATATATATATATTGCTTAAGAAAAACATGTTTTGCTCACTGAAAACAAATATAATCTGTGAATGACTGCTGTTCTCTCTGACATAAAAGGGAAATTATTTGGAGCTCCAGTTTCCAGGCTTCTTGAAAATAATAACAGTCAGCAATCTGTGCTGGGATTGTAAAAAACAGTACCTAACAAAGAGATTAGATGTGTAGTAGTAGAAAGTGTCTGTCTAGACGTGGCAAATACTATACATGCCACGGCATTTAGAGAAAATGATAGGACTACAGAACATAGAAATGTTTTCTCTGATTATTTAAGTTGACACTGAAAATTAGAGATGCAGAAAATATCACCTTGGCTGCTTTTCTGGTTAGAGAAACAAGATAATCAAACAAGTCAGAGCAAATGCTAAATGATTATTAACATACAGTGATTATAATGATTATGACAGGACATAG